ATCATTGAACACATGATGATACAGTCTTCTGAAGGCAGAGCTGGGGTATCGGATCCTATACTGGATCTCCTCATCAATGTTGGCTGATGAGGTATGCAAAGTTATCTTTGCTGGGGGAATTAATTGGCTTGGAGCAGGATGGTGAAGCACTTTTGTTTTTCCACTGTCAAGGGTCAGTCCCAGGCACTGGTATATTTGAGAGAAGCAGCTAAGGGTCATTTATAGGTCCTGCTCAGTATGTGCAACAACAGCACAGTTATCAGTGAACTGAAGTTCCACAATCAAGGCTGATATAACTTTGGTTTTGGCACAGAAGCGGGAAAGATTGAAAAGGTTCCCATCCACCCTGTACTCGATGCTGATGCCAGGTGACAAACGGTCACATAACATCCTTTTGCAACAGGTCTTCATGAGGTGTTGGGGCAATACTGTGGCAAAAGGACTAATGAGATCCTTGTTTATATCATGGTAGGGGTTCAGAGGGGTGTGTGTGTGTGTGTGTGTGTGTGTGTGTGTGTGTGTGTGTGTTGGTGGGGGGCAGCTGTCATTTTAAACCCACACAAACAGCATTGCTGAGACAGATGTATAAGTATTCTGGAAAGTTCTGGTATCAAAGTGTCTACAAGATATCAAAAATAGCCAAAAATGTGAAGGAAGGTGGGAGTGCTTAATGAGCTCCATTTGAACTTCTCAACAAAGGGTACAAGGGGTGCCTGTAGATGTATGGGAACACTGCTCTGATGCACAGTAATTATAGTGCATCGGAGCAGACTCGATTAACGAAATCTGCTGGAGCATGCTAATTAGCATGCTCCAGCTGCCTCTGTGTCTCATGTATTCAAAATCCCTGCACTTCAAAATAGCAGCAGGGGTTCTTTAACTAAAGTTCATTGAACTAAAGCTTCCCCACCACCATCTTGAAGCACGGGATGCTGAATACATGAGATGCTGTGGGCACTTCAATGAGAGCGGTTTTCAGAGCCATTCTAATTAAAGCACCCCTGCCCCACACCCCCAGAGCACGTGTAAAGATGCCCAAAGTGACTTACAGTGGAGAAGAGACTAAATACTAGAGGTTCTAGTACAGCATAGAAAGGCATAACAAGAATCAATGGCTAGAAGCTGAAACCAGACTTAGTCAGAATAAGGCAGTGAGAGTACTTAATCACAGCAAAGGAAGCATGGATTTTCTATCTCTAGATTCCTTCAAATATGAGCCAGGTGCTTTTCTGAAAAACAGAAGTACAATTTGGTTCATGGACAAGTGACAGGGTGAATCCTAGGGAACTTCTACACTAAGGAGACCAGACTGTGCTAGGTAGCATTGCTAAACCCAATGTAAAGTGTCATTAGGCATATGCCAATGACTCTTCTGACTGGGTACATTGTTAATGCCTGCTCAGTGTTGCTGCAAGCTGTCTCTACTCCCATCTCTGCCTGGGTTTAGCAGGCATGCTGTGCTGCAGTAGGCTGCCCCTTAGTATGGTTTAAAAGACCATCTTGTCTTGCATGGCCCTTGAGAAAGGTAGTGAGACTACATGGTGTAATGGCTCTTCTGGTCTTAAACACCATGGATTTATAAAATGCACTTGCACGTGATTAAAGAGCTTACATTTTCAAGGTAATACATATGTAGTAGATAGGTCCAAGGTCTGAATATGACACACATCAAAACTGATGGGTCTGCTATTTAATTGTCTTTTAAGCTTAGTCTGTTTAGCAATACAAACGTTGCTGTCACAAATAAGGTCAGACTGGACCATCTCCAAAAGACATGGGATTGAAGCTACAGTACAGCTAGCAACACAGCAGTGTTCTTAAGCATTCATTAACCACTGGATCAGCATTAGCAACCAAACAAGCTTGATGTTCCCTGTGAACAAATACCCACTTAATTATGTTAACCATATTAAGGGCCAAGCTTGGGGACAAAGCAAATAGTCACTCATTCCTTTTTTCAGTGGTACAGCAAAGACTGTCAGGACTGTTAAGAGTGCCCTACAAGCAAAACTGTTCCTAATGAATGGAGCTCTTTGCACTAAGTCTTCTGTATACCCTGTGCTTTTCCTCAAAACTCCATTTTTTTTTGTCATTTGGCTAAAGTACACTAATGATGAAATAGCCTCAGCACATCTGTATCCTGCATAGATCATGTTTTTTTGCTAGCACAGTTTGAGGCTCATATGATCTTGCAGTGTATTGTTCTTTGCCATGGAAACAAGAGGACACTGGTATGGAGCCAGGCTAGGAAATTATTTCAGACTTCTGAAATACTGACACCCCTGCACTCTAGAAACAAAACTATGTTAGAACTGGGGATAGCCTAAAAGTAGGGCTAAGCATGTGATTAAGTGCTCGGCCTATAGTAAAATCCATGGTATGCATGAGTTCAAGCCCTTCAAAATTATTTCTGGTCTGTGGGAAGGAAGTGTTTGATGTATGTTTCTATTCCTTTTCTAAGCCAACATTTTGGTGTTAATAATACTGATCCCACAAGGCAGCGCATGCCCTGTAGAATAGGATAAAATCTTCAATCCTTAATAGGGCTGCTTGAAATTTCTTTTGACATTTTTTAAAATCAGAAAAGAGACTCTTCAAAACAGAAGCCAAATTGGAAGGAAAACTGTCAAACTGGCTTTGACAGTTTCCCACTTTGAAAAGGTTTGGAGCAGTCAGCGTCCCACTTTGACGCTTCGGAAATGGGACATGTCTATTTTCAGGGGTTCAACTATTTGTTCTGAAATATACGCTCCTTTTATAGTAAGATTTCAGAAAGTAACACTCTGAAGTTATATTTCATTAATAGTTTGACCTGACCCAATCACTTAGGGTTCTCATTAGCAGTCCAAGCCAAAGTTTAGTTCATTTGACTTTAGTCCAACCCCCGATCAAGGCAAGATCATCCCTATCTAAACCAAACCTGACAAGTGTTTAGGTAATCTGCTTTTAAAAAGCTTCCAATAATGAAGTTTCTACAGTTTCTCTAGGTAACTGTTCTGGTTACTGATTTTGGATTTAAACTTCATTGTTGAACAACAAGAAACATTTCTATACCTCCATGCCTTTTTCCATCTGACACTACCAGGGAAGGAATCTAGACTGATCTGCACAAGAAAGAGTAATTCACAAAGACACTGTCATGGGCCCAGAGGAACAGACTACCATCTTCAGCTTCCTCTGTGCAAAAATGAAGTTTATTTCCTATGTTGACTTTTTACCATTTTTCATTTTCCCTGAGCCTGTTGAAGGGTGTGTGAGCCTGAAAGCTTGCAGAAAAAGATTTTTTTGGGGTGCAATTTCTTAGTTGGTCTAATAGAAGATATCACCTCTGAACCAAGAGTTATTGAGTTTTTGCATTTCTTTTTCTCTCAGATCAACACAGCTACCAAATACATCCCTGGTTGCTTAGCTATACTCATAGGTTAGATATTAGAAAAACTTTCTAAATCTCCCTACAATTTAAGTCCATTACTTCTTGCTCTGTCCTTACAGGCACAGAGGATAAATGATCTCACACCTCTTTTTTAAACTCCCCTTTGCATCCAAAGACTATGACCAAATCAGCACTCAGACTTTTCTAGACTGAATAATTCCAGTTCTTTCAGTCTTTCCTCATATGCCATGTCTTCCAAACCTCTGATATTTTTTTCTGTTTTTTTCTGGACTTTTTTCAATGTGTCTACATCTTTCTTGAAGTGCGATGCCCAGAACTGGATGTAGTACTCCAGGGGAAGCCTCCACAGTGCTGAAGAGAGTGGAGCAGTCATTTCCCAGGACCTGCATATGCCATTCTTGCTAACATATCCTAATATGCTTTTTGCTTTTTCCAGCAATATTACTCTCTTGACTCAAATTTAGCTTGGGGTCCGCTATAATGCTCAGATCTTTTTTCTGCAGTGCTGCAGCATATCCATCCATGTGCCATTTTGTAATTGTGCATTTGATGGACCTTAGTTTTAATATCACTGTTTACTTCAGACCATTTTGCGGATTTATCAGGGTCACTTTGGAGGATGAGATTTAGATTTGAAAAACTGCTATCTGACTTGGTTTCATCTGCAGTTCTTCTCAATTGTGTCCTTCAAGTCATTAATGAAGATATTGAACAGTACCAGTCCAGGACAGCCTCTGGAAACCCCCTCTTTGATATTTCTTTACAGATAAAATTTGAACTATTAAGAACTATCTTTGAACACGAGCATCCAACGGGAGAGTTCAAGCTGTCATGAGCACACCTTTAAGCAGTTTAATCTAGACCAGATGTTCCCAAACTTTTTCTTATTCCGTACCCACTTCTAGATTTACCAGCTTCATGCATACCCCTACCAGCATACGTTTTATATTTTAACACAGTAAATGCCAATTATTATTATAATGAAAATTAAATCTGCAATTACACAATTTCTCCCATGTACCCCTCCTCCCCCAGGGAAACCCCTGATCTAAGCCATATTTCCTTGGTTTATTTATGAGAATGTCGAGAGACAGTGTCAAGAGCTTTGTTAAGGTCCAGGTTTATCAGATCTGCTCTCCTCCCTCCTTCGCAAGGCCCATTACTTCATTATAGGAAGTATTTGGTCTTGACAAATTCATGCTAACTGTTCCTTTTGACTCTATTATCCACTAAATGATTACACACTGATTGGTCTATTAGCAGTCTACACAGAATTTACATGAAAATGCCCATGATTGGAAAAACAAGAAAAGGTTCCAAATTCTCAAATTTGATTCTAATTTCTGAATGTTGCTGAGACTCGGATTGCATTAGATATGTGTATTAATAATTTATAACCAGAAATAAAAGGTAGGATGAAATGGTTCTTTCATTAGTTTAAGGATGGGAATTCCAGTAAATGTGAAGGAGGAGGAGAAAATTATATTACTGCATCAGAAGGGAGAGAAATGCTTAAAGTGGATTTGGCATCAACTGGAAATGGCCTCAAAGTGAATTTGCCTAATAAATGATGCAGATTGCATACGTGTCATTGTAATTGGCTCACCTTATTCAGGCGTCCAAGAGTCTCTTTTAGCTTCTGCTGAAATTCACATTCATTTCTGTACCTGCAGATAGGAAGAAGTTGAATTGGTTATCTTTTTACAGACTGCATTTTCATCTCTAATATGCAGGATATAAGCTTCACATCTTAAGTAGAATATGAACTTTGACAGGGCCTATCAAGTTTATTCATATTTATATTATTTGCTCTGCTTCAGGTAGTGAGGTCAATTCTTTATTGTATTAGTTCCCTATATTCTCCTTCTTGCAATTCATAATGAGATGGGTGGGCATGTGTTATGAGTTCTCCAAAGTCCAAGGCTAGATCATTTACAATAAAATGTCAGTGATACACATGGCACAAAACTATATTAGACTACAGTGCCAGCAATTTAAAAGTTATCATTTTTACAGTTACCCCACTGATATTTGAAGTATTTGTATTTCACTGTACTTACACAATTATAGTTAACCCCAAGATGAAGAAGATGTACTGAAGTAACCACTGATAAATGTTACAACTTGTGATGACTGGTTGTTCAAAGGAAATTTCATCTATGTATAGAATCAGGGCTTTTTTATTATTATTTTATAAGTTTTGAGTCCTTTTTTTCACACCATGTTAGGTTATTTATCTATACATAATTACATGTAAAAAAATCTCTTCTATTTGATTAGGAAATGTTAATTAAGCAATGTGCACATAAAGTTTAGAAATGACGTTTATAAATTAAATATAATGATTACATCAACAATAACAACAAACTACAATAGCAACAATAATAATGGTGTAGCATAAAATGCTAATCACCAGGATTTCAGTTTTATATTGAAATGTGTGCATCATTCTGTCTAAAGGATTTTTTTTTTCCTTTGTGGAAAGCAAGGGAAAAACATCTCATAAAGGTCGGCTTTATTGATTCTGTCCTGTTCTTTGGAGGTGACACAAAAGAAACCTGCTGAAGAGTTCAAACAAGACTGTAAATGATCTTGCTTAATAGGAAACATAATTTAATTAACTAGTGTAATTAAAAAAAGGAATTATAAATGTATTACAGTACTGAGCAACAAGATTTGATCATCAAATACTGAACTAATGGCTCATCCAAGACAGGCAACTGATGTTGGCTGAAGAGCAGGATGATGTTGTCTGATTGTCTATTGCTTTCCCTTTCTAATACAGAAGTATATAAAATTGCTATCTTCTCCCCATCCACTTAAATCTGTCATGTAATGGGCAGAAAAAACCTGGCAGCAGCTTCCCTCTATCTACTATATTTTTCGTTACAGAGTAAGTATAGCATAATGAAGATTTTTCCATATCACCTGAGGCTTGCACAAAAGGAAATATAGTCAAACCTGAAGACTTTGCAGGGTTAGGTTCCTTACTGCCCTGCAAAATGGGTGTTTGTGAAGTTTCAAGGGGTATATAGAGCTGTAGCAAAGAGCTGAGAAGCTTGTCATTTAGTTTGGTAGCCTGTTGCTGCAATAAGTGGCTTGCAGATTACTCTGAAAAGAATGACCCAGATTCCATTGCAATTTAAGATTGAAAAGCAAGTTCACTTTGGGAGCGTCTACACATCGTCGTACCGTGATGTTGGTACAGTGCCAAGCGTTAGTACTTCATTTTGGAAATACTAAAGCATGGCAGTGCAGGCAATTACTGTGCCATATGGGTGGCACACATTTAGATTTCCTAGCTATGTTGCCATAGCAGCACACTATATCCAGGGAGCATGCTGCTATGGCGATGTAGCTGGTGATCAAATGTAGACTCGCGTGATCATTATGTCGCTGTAGCACACCGTACGGTGATGTAGTATGCTGCTATGTTGCCATAGAGTGATGTGTAGATGCACCTTCTTTTTACTAAAGTTAACACTTTGTCTCTGTCCTGATTCAGAAATTAATTCCAGGGCTATTAATGGTTGTGAGGTACCTGTCATATGAAAAAATAATTTCTGTTCAAAGCTAATAGTAAGCTTAGCCATGAATAGAGCAGGGGACATGCACAATTGTTTCAGTGTATAGAGAAACATATATTTTAGCTGCTTTTAAGAGGATGAGGAGTTGTTATTTGGGAATGTGAACAGGCTACCATGATCTAAATGTGACAACTGCATGAGCCCATTTTCAGTCAGTCAGTCAGGGTGTATGTAATTGCTGAGCCATGTGATAGCATCATCGGTGGCCATGTGCAGTTCCTGTAGTCCACCACTGAACTTAGTCAGTGGGCAGTATCAACAATATGCGACCTGGTGTGTGTTTTGCCACATGTACAGTCTGGGTTGCTGCGAAGTTCCCAACTGTAGCGGTTGGCCATGCACAGAACCTATTCAGCAAGGCCCACTGATGGTCTTGCAGGTTGAAGCCAGGTGGGAAGACTGTAGGATCTGTGATAAGGAACTTGTTTGGTGGTGATGTTGACCTCCATTCTTCACATCAGAGGGTCTCTTCTGTGTGGCCCTGGTGTAGCGGTTTGGACCACAGTGGGTATCATGATGGTATCTTTTGGTCCACGTGCAGGAGGTGGATTTAAGAGATCGTCATACCTCAGCAAGCATGGTTTGGAATAGATATTTTCCAGTAGCTTGCTTGTTGCAACTTCCCATCAGATATGGGGGGAACAATGTTGTTCAGGACTGGGAGCCATGGTAGAGTGGTTGGTCAAATTGTTCCTGAGATGATACGTATCACTGAATGTAGCTGCACATCAATGAGTTTGGTGTGTGATGACCAATTCCAGACAGGTGTGCAGTATTCTGCTGCAGAGTATGAAAAGGCAAGAGCTGACATCCTTAGGATTGAGGCTCTTGCACCCCATGATGACCCAGCCAGCTTAAGGTGGTTGTTGCATGTCTTAATTTTCATTACTGACTTTTTCCAGTGTTCATAATAGCCCTTTGCCCATAGCCCTAGTGTCACACCCAGGTAGATGGGTTCTGCTTAAAAGTTAACTAAATTGCCCTAACTTTGACCCTGAAGTAAGCAGGGCTAAATTTGGAGTGATTTTGCTACATTTCTATCACTGCAGAATCATGCAGATATTACAGTTGTAATAGCTTCTACCATTATCAAAAGGTATTGTTACAAATAATACATCCATCTATTCCCTCACATTGCTCCCAGATCTCTCACTTGGTTTGGGAGAAAGCAACATAATGCCATATATTTTAATATTTCATTGAATCCATATTTATTCTATTACACTTGTTCGGTTGTACTTCATGAGATTTCTTTTGGTCCAATCCTCCAATTTATCAAGGTTTCTCTGAATCCTAGCCCTAATCTCTAGTGTATCTACTATTCCTCCTACCTAGTTTAATCCAAAAACTTGTTGAGGGTGAATTCCATCCCATCTTTCAGATCATTGGTGGAGATATTGAACAAAACTGGCCCCAGAACTGGCCCCTGGGGCACTCTGCTTAATACTGGCTGCATACAAATCCTTCATCCAGCCACTAGCATGGGCTCAGTGCTGTCTAGCAGCTGATGCTCCTGTTTTAACGGCCTAGTTCTGTATGTGTGCACATCCAGTAAGCCAAAAGTAACATGCCAGGGAAAATATTGGAGCCAGGACATGTGTTCTGACCTGCTGGTGTTGGACTTTCAGATAGTAGTAAAAAGCATTGCTCTAGCAGATGGGGTCTATCAGGTGGCTTTGCAGGTGGCTATTGGTATGGAATCCCTCCTACCTTATGTATTCCAGCTGTTCTACTGCATCTGCACTCACTACCTGATACAGCTACTACTGCTAAACAAAATATTCCAGTTTGGGAACAATATTATTTGGTTTTTATCATAACCAGAGTCATGCATATTGCCTAGCTTCATACCTAGTTTTATTATCTAGCAATTATACGGTGCATACAAATCCTATGCATTTTATCTTTGGACACACTTTAGATAAAAGAATACATTATGAGTAATTCTCATAATTTTTAACATTAATTACTTTTGCTCACTTGTTGGCATTCAGCTGATTTGTACTAACTTTTGGGATATCATGGAAAGAGAAATAAATGCTTGATTTTGAGGTTTCCTGCAGCCAAATATAATAGTGCTATGATAACAATGCTCAATGCAATTAACATAATTACATTATGTGCAAGACTCCCCAGGAATGTTTTCTGTGAGTTTTAGAGAAAGAAAGCGCCATCCGTTGATAAAAAGTCTAAGTTATTCATGCTAATGTGAAGAGCTGTGAAGCTGGCTACAAAGGACTGAAAAATAAATTTGAACATAAAATCTGATTTCAACTGTTTCATAGAGCTTTACTTCTGCAAATAGCGTCATAGTACTTTGGCATTTAAAATGTAACCTCAGAAGTATTTGGGGCTCATTTAAAGATACAAATCAATTGGATACGTATGTATATGAAGAAATGGAGTGTGAGGCTAAATGATTTGTGTGTTAGAAGCAGGCCTGGGTGCTTTGTAAATACATGCATACTAAACACTAGAACTCTTGGTTCCAAAATGATACCCTTTATTAGACCAACTGGACTAATTGGTCAAGTTGCTCTAATAAAAATAATTTTGGAACCAGGAATTCTAGTTTTTTGGATGTCTTTTTGTCTCAGACCAACACATCTACCAAGTACACCCTTGTAAATACATACTGTATGTAACAAATTCCCTGCTACTGCAGAGGCACCAGATGTTGATAATGCCCTTGTTTTACATGCTTTTGCCTAGCAGGAAAACTAGACAGACCTCCTAAATATCTGCCAGAGGTAGACAGGATTCATTCAAGATCAGGCTGTGCAGGTTTGATTCCCAGCAGTGATGTCAGCCATGTCCCTTGCTGATCAGTCAGCGGATAGCTGTGTAGCATAGCACATTGCTGTATCTATGGCTGTGTTCCATTTTCAGAGTGCTAGGTTTTGTCTGTATTGTTCTATGCAAAATTTTAGGGCACTTCTCTGATAGTATGATGTAATCTCTTCCTTGCATACTGTTGCACTTTGCACACTGGAGCAAAAAGCACAATCTCTCCCTCTGCCTCAATGGCTAAACAGTTGCTTCTCCCTAGATTTGTACCTTCTGGTTTCATCAGCTAGATT